TGAAGGGGTCTCCACCGAGGAACCGAAAAATCAACATCTGTACACCCTCATTTTTGCCACTCTAGCAATCAGCCACCACTCGCTTCTCTACGCTACTGTTGCTGCTCTCTCTTGCCCCTCTAGCATAGCCTGTCTTGCATATGTTGACCGAACTGCTCGCCTGGACCAACAAGGATTGGGAGGTTCTTACTCATAGATTGGGAGGCGATCAGTAGCTGTGGGGGGGTACCCAAGTAACACCAGGCGTTACAGCAGTCGACTTACCGCCTGGCGGGCGCATACTCTAAGGCCCTCTTCGTTTCGGTTCTTTCTGCCCTTCCTAGCCTGCTGCGCCCGCCAGGTTATGCTGCTCGTCGCTCCGCTCAGTCGGCGTTTTTTATTTCACCCAGTAACGCTCCAGGCTGCCGCCCTAAGTTTGCGCAACGTCTAGAAAGGAGGTTGAGGAGGAGGAGGAGGAGGAGGAGGAGGAGGAGGAGGAGAAGGAGGAGGAGGAGGAGGAGAGAACGTACAAGAGGGCGAGTCCCAAGGAGGAGGAGGAGGAGGAGGAGGAGGAGGAGGAGGAGGAGGAGGACGGCCCCTACCCATGCCAGCCGTCGCCCTCCTGTCACGAGTGCCTCGGCCCCCCGGAGAGGCAGCGCGCTGCGGCGAGCAAAAAACGGCTCCGTGCGCCGAGCCCCCGCCCCCGGCCTTAGAACTGCGACAGCGGCCGCGACGGCGGCGACGCCGGCGACGAGCTCGACTGCGATCACGGCAAGAACTACGACGACGACAGCGGCCAAGACCGCGACCATTAGCACGACCACGACTGCGATGGCTGCCGACGCAACTGTTACTACGAACTCTTGCTGCGACGCCGCCGTGCTCCCCTGGCACATTGAGCCGTGGTACAGGGAGGCTGGAAAGAGCGGAAATTGGGAATTTCGTCAAAATGGAAGTGGCCAGGGTCGGAAAAAAACAGCAAGGGCTGCGACGAGCACGAAGAAGTTGGGGTGAGGTCACCAGGGCTGGAAGAAGTAAAGGAAAGCTGGCCAGGGGTGGAAAGAGTGGAAGGGCCGACCCCGGCCACTTTTTCCGGCCTCCCTGCAGGATGCCAGGTGCTGTCTGGTAGAGGTTCTGCAGGTCTTATAACCCCCCCCTTCGCAAACTTCTGCGGGCATCCCCCCCTTCATAGATCGTCGTCGTCGTCGTTCACTCCTCGATTCTCGATTATTGATTCTCCTCCTCCTCCTCCTCCTCCTCCTCCTCCTCCTCCTCCTCCTCCTCCCCCTCCGACGACGACGACGACGACGACGACGACTGTCTGGGCGGCTCACAGGGCTCTCCGAGGTTTCCGAAAGCGGCCCAGGAGCTCCAGCACGGCCGCCGAGGTGGCCCAACCTTGGTCTCAGGAGACACTCCGCCATCGAGGCCCCGAGAAGCCTCCATAATTCACCAAAGCGGAGGCCGGGAGGCCCGCCAGGAAGACAAACACCACTCTCAAGCATCCAAGAGAATCCACAGTACGTTTGCCTATTTGAGTCCATGGGCCTCTCGGATCGAGATGGCTCCAAGAGGCCCTCAAAGACGGCGCCCACGACAGCCCTGAGAGACCCTCCCAGACGGCCGAGGGGAGCCCAAAAAGTGGCCCAAGACAGCACCAAGACGATCCAAAAAGAGCCAAGAGAGCCCCAGGCTGGCCCGACGGGAGCCCACGGCAGCCCCTGAGGGGCCTCGACGACCCCCCACTGCAAAGATTGAAACGAGAGGTGTTCGGTGGCAACTCACGGGAGCCTCCCATACCATCTTGTCGGCTCTTGCGCATCGACGCCAGTCGACGCTAAGTCGACGCTAACCGACGATAGATCGACGCTAATCGACGCTAACCGACGCTACATCGGCGCCATCACCTCATCGACTCCCAGACGCTAATCGACGCTAATCTTAGGTCGGGCATGCCCCCCTACAGGCGGATGTTGGACGAAAAATAAACATATCCCACAAATGCCCAAAAATAGTCCAAACAACCGTCCCCAGACTATTTTGTTTTTACCATTTCTGAAGATTCCTCCTGTAGAGGGACAAACCCGACTTGACGCTGATCGACGCTGAATACGGATCGGGGATCTTCTGACCCGGGTCAATCCAGACCCGGGTCAGCAGGAAACCAAAAAACTGCAATGCAGGAAAAAAAACTGCAATGCAGGTCTTCGCAAACCTGGGTCGGCCAATAGGCGCGGCCGCCTCGCGGCCACGAGCGGCTCGCCAACCCGGCTCAGCCAGACGGGCTCTTCGCAGGATCCTGCAGGATCCGGTGCCCTGGCTGACCCCCGTCTGCATTGACCCCCGTCTCTCGGGTCGGGCGAAAGGAGGGGATAGCAAAGGGAGGGGTGAGAATCAGCTCACGTAGCTGATTTTCCCGGCGCCTCCCGGCGCCAGAGGCGGCTATGTATCGAGGAATGGGCCCCTCGGTGAGGCCGAAACCAGCTGCATGCAGCAGATTTCGTAACCCCCCCTTTCCAAATCCCCCCCTTTCGTTCGGCCCGAGCATTGACCCCCGTCTCGAGGCTCCCGAACGGCATCTTCCTCGGGTGCCGCCGGGCTCTCCCCCTGCTCTGCCTGCCGCGGAGAGGCGACGCGTGCCCGCACCACGCCGCGGCGGCCCCTGCGGCCCTCGAGGCGCCGCCGCCGCAGGAGGGGCGCCCCCTTGGGGCAGGCGTGCTGGGAGGAGCTGCCGCGGGCAGCGCCGGAGAATTTCCGTCGACCCGTGGGCGTGCGTTGGGGGGCTCGTCTGTTCGAGGCGTCGTCTCCGTCGGTCGTCGTCTCCGTCGGTCGCCCTTGCCCTGCACCCTCCTCCTCCTCGAGCCTGTCGGCGAGAGGCGTGAGTGAGTTTGGAATGGGTTGGGAGGCCCAACCAGCAGCTTCGCCTTAGGCGAAGCCCAGCTCCAGCTCTGTTGTGCCGCAGTACCGATAGTCCCAGTAGTGGGAGATCGTCGCGTGAGCGACGAGCCATCTCAAGCAAAGGATATCTTGGTCTCGATGGCAAATGGTACACCTCGCGCTGAGGTGTAGTCAGATCTGGGCGGCCGGCCGCTTGAGAACAATCGGCCGCGGACACACGCTCGTTACCTCTCGCCTGTATCCCAGCTCACTTTAGAGTGCGTGAGGGGCTCGTTTGTTCGGGTCGTCGTCTCCGTCGGTCGTCGTCTCCGTCGTCCCCTTGCCCCGCACCCTCCTCCAAAAAGCCTGTCGGCGAGAGGCGAGTCCAGCAGCGTCGCGAAATCGAGTCGAAGGGGAGCCCCTTCCCTCTGATGCCTCCCCCCGTTCACGCCCTCCAGACTGCCCCTGGAAGCCTCCCAAGAGGCCACAGAATTCCTCCCCAGAGGCCCCCGAGAGTTTTTCGAAGAGACCCCAAGAAGCATCCCCCTGGCCCACGTCAGCGTCGTCGTCGTCGCCGCCGCCACGATTATCGTCGTCGTCCCTCTTCAGGGTCGGCGGCACTGGCAGTAAGGCCTTCGCAAAACCAAGACTCACGACTGCCACTGCGGCGACCGCTGCCACCACTACCGAAACCGCTGCTGCTACTGCTGCTGCTGCTGCGGCTGCTGCTGCTGCGGTCAAGAACTGTTATTTCGCGCGTCGCGGTGGCGGCCCCGGCGAGACGCTATGCCCTGCGAGCTCATAGCTTGTCGCTCCGCCTCGCGGGACGGGGGGCTTAGAAAAGCTCGAGGGATCGACGCCTGGGGACCAGGACGGCTAGCCTGCCGCGCCGAAGCGTAGCGTGGTGGGCCAGAACTGGCGGCGCGACACGCTAAGCAAAAGTTCCTGGCGCAATACGAATGAACCAGGGCCACAAGAGCGTGAGTTAATAAGAACATGAGCGCCTTCGCCGAAGGACCAAGGCACTGAGGAAATAGCCGAAGCGAGGAGCATGCCAAGGCAGAGATCCTCAACACGAAGAACGTAAAGATACCTCTTCGAGAGCTGGGGGTGCTCCTCACCCTCATGCCAGCTGTACTACTCTAGGCCTCCAAAATGGGATCCGAATAAGTGGGGGTCGAAGGATCGAACCGCATCGGCGACGTCGGCATGAAGAAGATCGGGCCCCACATCGAACCGCATCGCCGATGCATCGGCGCTGCGGCGCGACGGTGTGAGGAAAATCTGTGCAACAGCAACGCCCGAACAGGAAAGAACCCAAATACCCCCATCCACCCTCCAGCCTTTATTGCGCATCTCCGCCGCCCCGCGTCTCCGAAGCGCTTCCTCTTCGTCGTCGTCGCCGTCACCGTCGCCGTCGTCGTCGTCGTCGTCATCGTCGTCGACCCCTCCTTCCTCCCTCCTCCCTCCTCCCTCCTCCCTCCTCCCTCCTCCCTCCTCCTTCCTCCCTCCTCCTTCCTCCCTCATCCTTCCTCCCTCCTCCCTCCTCCCTCTGGGGCGTGGACGGGGAGCACGGGATCCTCCGACCCCCACCTGCTTGGACCCCATCCTAGGGGGCTGAGGGGTGGGGGGGAGGGGGGAGGAGGGAGGGAGGGGGGAAGAGGGAGGGGGGAGGGGGGAGGGGGGAGGGGGGAGGAGGGAGGGGGGCAAGCTAGGTGCGCTCGCGTCATGTCTGACATCCTACCCCTCCCTCCCATCCCTTACCATGGCGTAGATCCCCTCTCTACTCGCACAGTCGGATGTCGAGCAGGGCAATGATCCCGAAAGGGTACGCGATGCATTGTAGAGCACGGCATGGCATGGCGTAGAAGAGCACCGCAAAGCGTAGTATGTCACAGCATGGCGTGGCGTGGCGTAGTGAAGAATTGCATCACAAAGCTTTGCAACGCAAAGCATGGCATCGCACAGCGGCCCCGAACATAACATTGCATAGCATGGCGTTGAAGATCAAAGCGTAGCATGGCATAGCACGACGTGGCACTTAAGCACTGCATATCACAGCTTCAGCTGAAGGCATGGCATCGCGCAGCGGAACGCAACCTAGCATTGCATTGCATGCCGTGGCATGGCACGGGAAATGACGCCAGCGCTGCAGCGGGAGCACGATCGGAACGAGCGGAAGCGCGGAAATGAGGCCAGCGCTGCAGCGGGAGCACGATTCGGAACGAGCGGAAGCACGGAAATGAGGCCAGCGCTGCAGCGGGAGCACGATTCGGAACGAGCGGGGCCCGAAAATGAGGCCGGCGCCTCAGCGAGAGCAGCATTTTGAAAAAAAATGCAGGCGAAAACCCAACTCCGGGGAATCCTGTGTGTAAAAAACAGTACGCGGGGGGGGGGGGGGGGCGAACACTCCCAACCCGTCATCAGGGGAAGGAGGAGAGTAGTATTCATATTGAGTAATTGAGGGGGGAGGAGGGAGGGGGAGGAGGGAGGAGGGAGGGGGGAGGAGGCAGGAGGGAGGGAGGGGGAGGAGGGGGAGGAGGGGGAGGAGGGAGGAGGGAGGGGGGAGGGGGAGGGGGGAGGGGGAGAGGGGGGGAGGAGGGGGGGAAACCCAGACGTGCGAGGTCCTGCTGCTTCCAGCGTGGGGCTCCCGGAGGCCCCGACCTCTCGTCCCCAGGGCCGGCCTCTCCTCCCGCCTCGCTCGCCGACGGCCCCTCCGGCCGTCGGCGGGGCCCCCTGGAGGCCGCCAACGGGCGAGGACCCTCCGTCGTGACGTGTTTGCCAGGGGGGCCACATACGAACCCTACCCCTACCCCCCACGATCTCTGAGGGGCGGGTGGGGTTCCCTTCGCTCGGGAGCTCCCGAGCGAAGTGAACAGCACCCTCCCCCTCAGAAATCGTGGGGGGTAGGGGTAGGGTTCGTATGTGCCCCCCCTAGTTTGCGACGACGCCGCACGCCTGGGAAGCGACCTGCGCTCGCGCCTCTCTCCGCAATCGAAAGCCCGCTGCACACCAAGGCACGTCTGGAGAGTCTCAGGTCGAACCCGCCGCGTCGTAGCCTGCCGATGCGGGGGGGAGCGGCAGCGGGCCTGGCGCGTGGAAGCACGCGCCAGGGCGCTGGCGGTGGGGAAGCCAAAAGGCACTCATGCCGCTGCCTCCCCGGGCCTCTCCCAGGGTGCGTACTGCCCAGGATTTCGAGGGCGAGTCCAGCCGCGGCGACGAAGGCCGCCCAGGAGGCCCAAGAGGGGGAAGGCCAGGCGAGGGTAGCGGTATGGGTACCTTCTCCTCCTCTGAGGTATGGGGGAGAAAGCAGCCCAGGCGCCACGATCGTCGTCCCGACACCCCCAGTCGTGGATTTGGAGGGGGTGGGGCAGCGGGAGGAGGGGGAGCAGGGAGCGGGGAGCCGAGAGCAGGGACAGAGGGAGGAGGGAGGAAGGAGGAGGAGGACGACGACGACGAGAAGGAGGGGGGGAGAAGAAAGGAGAGAGTAGGGAAGAAGAGAAGGAGGAGGGAAAAGAAGCATGGGGAGGAGAAGGAGGAGAAGGAGAAGGAGACGGGGTGAAGAGGAGGAGGAGGGGAAGGAGAAAGGAGAAAGGAGGGAGGAGGAGGAGGAGGAGGAGGAGGAGGAGGAGGCTCTGTGTGGGAGAGTGGGCGTGCGGGAAGAATCAGAGGAGAAGGGGGAGGGCAAGGGAAGAGGGATGAGAGAACCAGAAGCAGGGAGGAGCGAGCAGGGCGCGCCCCCTGGGATGCGTTCGCCCCCTGCGGGTGTCAGCGCCGTCCTCTGGCGTCGCAGGACGCCGCAGCGCCCCAATCTCCCTCGGCCCCGAAACTCGGGCCTGGGAGCAGGGACGGAGAGGAGGAGGCGGAGGAGGAGGAGGAGGAGGAGGAGGAGGAGGAGGGGAGGAGGAGGAGGAGGAGGAGGAGGAGGGAGGAGGAGGAGGAGGAGGAGGAGGAGGAGGAGGAGGAGGAGGAGGAGGAGGAGGAGGAGGAGGAGGAGGAGGAGGAGGAGGAGGAGGAGGAGGAGGAGGAGGAGGAGGAGGAGGAGAAGAGCCGCGTGCGCCCGAGAGGTTTTCCGCGATGTAGGGGACCTCCGTCGACCTCTCTCGAGGCGGCGGCCAGCGTGTCGCCCGCCTTTCTCTCCCAAGGCGGCCACGACAGCACGCCGACTTCCACAACCTGAACCTTTCTTCTCGCTCGGACCTCTTTATTTTCGTCGTCGTCGTTCGTTCGTCGTGCGTCCTCCCCTCTGGCCCTCCTGGCCTTGCCCTGGACCCAGCCCTCCGCCCTGCCTTTGCCCTGGACCCAGCCCCCCCCCCCCCGCCCTTCCCCCCCCCCCTAGCCTCCCTTGCCCCCCCGTGACCTCCCTGGCCCCCTGGTCTGGCCCTGGACCCAGCCCTCCCCCTGCCCTTGCCCTGGACCCAGCCCCCTTGCTCTCCCCCCGCTGACCTCCCCTATGTGCAAGAGCCAGGGCACGCGTGCCACTTGTTATCGTACCAACCTTGGGCCCACGACGACACCCACGACGATCAGGTCAAGGAGCCCCGCCTGGCACAGGCGACTCAGTCGACAGCGTGCTGACGCCCGCGTCCTACCTCGACTTCAAAAAGCGCAAGATCTACCCCGAGCGCGCCACAGTGCCCAGCAGCCACCGCCACATCCACCTCCTGCTCCAGCCATGGCGACATCATGGAGGGCAATCGCGAGCGGATCGGGATCAGCGCAACCACCGTGGATATCAGCATCGGGCCGCCCACCTCGACAAGGAAAAGACGCCCAAAGATAAGAACGACGGCCAGAACAACTACTACAACAACAAGAACAACAACACGAACAACAAGAACAACAAGAACAACAACAACAACAACAACAACAACAACAACAACAACCACAACCACAACAACAACAACGACAACAACAACAACAACAACAGCAGCAGCAACAACCGCAACAACCGCAACAACAGCAACAGCAGCAGCAACCACAAGAGCAACAATCACCACAACAGCAGCAACAACAACAATAACGATAACAACAGCAGCAGCAGCAGCCGCAACCACAACAATCACAACAACAACAACAACAACAACCACAACAACAACAACAACAACAACAGCAACCACAAGAGCAACAAACACAACAACAACAGCAGCAACAACAACGATAACAATAACAACAGCAGCAGCAGCAACAACAACAACAACAACAACGACGACGACAACAACTGCAGCAACAACAACACAAACAGCAACACCAGTAACAGTAACAGCAACAGCAGCAACAACAGCAACAACAACAACCACAACAACAGCAGCAAACACAACTATACTAGCACATCACCAACACGATGAACAACGTCATGCCCATGAGAAAAATCTACGCCGTCTGGAGGCACGACTGGGAGCTACCCCCCAACGACTACCAGCTGAGGGACGAATGGATGAAACACGCGGAGGAGCGAAGAGCGGCAACTGCTGTCGTCAAGAACAGCGCAGCAGGATTACCTACCACCGACGCGGTCACGCAGATCGCCTTCATCAAAGCGATGGTCCTCAACAGCATGCCCCTGGTCCAGCAGGCGAGGTAGATCGACAGCACCAAGAGGACCACCGAGGACTACTACGAGCATGCGAAGTGCCAGCCACGACCCCTACGGAGCCGAGATCAACCATGGGGACTGAACTACTCAAGGGATAAGGAGAGCAACCAGATCGACATCTGGAGCCGAGGTACTGGGCCACATACCGCCAGAAGACCCACGGTTGGACCCCACCTTCGCTACAGCAGCTCGACGGGCACCCGACCGAGCACAAGATGGTATCCAGCCTGAGACCTTGACCAAAGAGTACACATACGCGTCACTGGAGGTCAGACAGGCTTACATCCCAACCAACACCCCAAAGGGATGGATAAAGACTCTGTGCCCGCACCAGTACACGGTCGCCTACCTGGCAACTACCAACGAGCTGTGAAAGAGATCAACCGAGGAGAAGGCCGACATCGCGATACGCGAGGTCTTCAAGAGGAACCGCATCACCCCCAACATCAACCAGATAGACCTACACTACACGGCAAGACCGACTCACATACTAGACTACAGGAAAGCAGCGCGGGCACGCACCGAGGAAGACGGCCACGAATGTACGCAAAGACGCGCACTGATTGCAGCACTACCATGGTAACGGGCCAAGGACATGGCGGAGAGGAACCTCATCCACTTGATCCCCCAACAGCTGGGCCTTCGAGGAACCGAGATGGAAAACGTCGGCCAGATCCAAATGGGCAGAAGAGGGCAAACTTCCAGGATGCCGAGCGAAAAGCAATCCACTCGCAGAGCCACGAAGTCACCTACACCCTCCACGAGACGGATCAGAATGGCAACGTCTTGGACCTGAGCGAGGCCCTAACCCTGCTGCTGCACCTGACTGATACACTCGCCACCATGGGAGCCAAGGGCATGCACCCTCGCAGCGACAACCTACTCTTCGACAGAAACAACCTCCACATGAACTCGCGCAGGCCTTCATGCAGAAAACGGGGACCCAAACGGCGACCTAGTCCCAATGGCTTGGGTCACTGACGAGGAACTCTACGACCTGCAACACAACTGCAGCGCGGCTTAGAGGGTGCCCATCAACCACTGCAACGAGATCCTCGGCCCACCCTCGAACGGCATCCCGACTTGGCCAAAAGGCGTAGCATGGCACGCGCCGGCCGACGTCACCCACGACGAGGGGGTCGAGGGCCACCACGCCCCAACCGACCTGCTGCCACAGGTGGAAGCAGTCGGGCTGGAGAGACCGCCGCGCCGACGGACGGCTCCTTGGGCAGGACCAGTCAGCATCAGCGTATACGGCTGCATGCAGACAGTGGCCACCGACATCCACACCCTGATGTCGCACATCCCCTCTGACTCGTGCCCAGGAGGGCACCGCACGTTGGAGGAGCTGAGGACATCCTACTACGAAACCCAGGAGGGCGACTACGGGGCGGAGCTCCAGCTCAACGGGCTCACATCGCGCGCCCCCACGAGCACCATCATCCCTTTCCAGAACAACGCTCAGATTGCGAGACATGAAAGACCAAGACGCGATCAACCTATCCCTCCCAACCCCAAGACGAGCAACAAGGTAATTGCTGCCCATCTGGCCCACCAGGCCCCCCACAAGGCCCAGCTCCCACCACCGAACAACCCGCCATCTTCTTTCTCCCTGCCAGACTATCCGACCTGGAACACGCATACGCTCGGCGAGGCAATCCGACGCACAGGATTCCCCGAAGGACCACCATTGGCACCCAACCATCGTCTGCCATTACCCATACAATGGATCGCCTACATGTACGAGGGCAACGACTTCGTCTGGATTCACCAAGTGTACTACTTCACTTCAACCTGGACACCAGGGAAACTACGTGGAGAGACCCAGGCAACGCACTCCTACAAGCGAGCTGGAAAAGGGCTCTATCATCCGACAATTTGGAATGCTTCTACGACGCGAACTACAACATCGTCCAGTACCCGCCGATGGCCATCCCAACCAGGACGCAGCCGCCACCGCCACCGACGCCCCCGACGCCTCCGAGGCAGCGGTAGCCTTCACCTCAGGCTCGGTCATTTACAATCGACGTCACCTCCCTTGGCACCGTCATCACGATGTACCGCGACGATGTCGACTTCAGGGCCATTAAGGCAAGCAGTTGACTACATGAGCGACAGCGACGTGGCCGACATGAAGCGCTCCGATACCGACATCGGTCGCATCACGCGGCTACTACTCTTCAACCAGTCCGACAGCCTCGACACGCAGCAAGGGATACTCATGATCATCGCAGAGATCCACGCAGAACAGCCGCACATCGCAACCACGGACCGCAAGAATGCAGTTGACTCACGGATCAAACAGCACAACAAGACGGTGACAACACTACTACCTGACCTGCTGGCCGCCCCGACCACGGGGGCCACTACTTCCTCCAGCCATGAGGGACCAGTTACCTGCATCGCACTACGTGCCCAGCCTAAACACTACGAGGCACCAACGGAGGTCATGTCAATGACAGCACCACGTACCTCCCGCTGCGCTACAAAGCTCCACCGGCTATCCTGACGCCAACGCCCATCGTGCAACCCACCACTGCAAGAGCAGCATGCGGCAGCGAGGGCAAGCAGCCGAGCACATCTCAGCCATGGAAGGGGGTACCTGCAAAGCCACCGCCGATCTCCCCACGAAAGAACGAGAGCAACCAGAGAGCAACAGTGAGCCAAACCACGACGGGTTGGGCGCAACAACCCCGAGGGCCAACGACGACGACACCAAGCACATCCGAGACGCGGCATCGAGCTCGCAAAACGATCCCCACCTCCACCGCCGCGAGGATGACAGCAGGGCTGAAGGGCTGAAGACCAAAAACCGCATGCACGACATCATCGAGCGCCTGACCGTTTGATCGGTAACGACGTATACGAGCGCGAGCACGTGGTGTCCAATATACATATGCACGAGGCGATCGCCTACCACTACGACCAGATGCTCGACCTGGCCGACGCAGCAAAGACCAACAAGCACGCAACAGAAGAAGGTCTCCGCATCGAATACGGCCATGTGGAAGGAGCTCTCAACAGCTACAGCGTGTCCTACGAGCTGCGGGACGCACACCTATTCCACATGAATCAGCGACAGAGGGACTTGGCTAACTACGCCAACCACTACTAGGCTAACATGCTGACCTACCCGAAGTACCACAGCCACGACGACATGCCTGAGCAAGCAGAGGTGCTACAGCAGAAGAGAGACGTCCGCATGGGTATCAAGGTAACCATGCGACACCACCCCACATGTACGCCGACGCCACTCCTTGTCACCGACTTACAAAAGGAAATCGCAATCGACGCAATGGTCAAAATCGCCGAGCTCATCAGCAACCAGACCCCCTTGCCCGAGGGCGAGCCACAGAATCAGCAGAATCGACAGCCGACACCCGACCCACCGACTGTATACGATCTGCAGCCACCTACCGAGCCGCACACCGTGACAGCACCACTCCAACTCGGACACCTGAACCAACAGCCGCCGACGTCAGGACCGAGTGCAGTGGAGCAGACCAACAACGCCAACTTGGTGCAGCCCAAGTGGACCACGACCACGGCGGGCAGAACCGAAGTGAGCAGCACCGCAGCTTGATCACGGACCACAACACCGAGGGTGACGTATCCCACACCCCGCGTGAACAGAAGCCAGCAACGATCCAGCCCATAGGCGGACAACCCGGCATCATCCACCACGGCGACCAGACCCGACCCGTGGAAAACATGGCCGACCTATGCAGACGCCGTCAAAGCGAACCAGCCCGACCAGCACGACCCACATACGGCGAATCAGGAGACTCCCCCCTGATCGTCCGCAACACGAGGCAATCCTCACGATCGGACCGGCCTAACGGCGGCTAATCAGCGCGCTACATCCTCACATACCTCATTTGCGTCATTGCAGACAGGTCCGCGAGCTGCTACATACCCATTCCCATCTCTGCACGATCCTTCGACCCACACGTACGCTCTCACCATGAGACGGAAGCAGCACAGCTGGTGGTATGGGAGTCTACTTTCTCTTGGCACATCTACAGCGTGGACACCAGTGGCGACTACG